GTTCTGTGGTGTAATTGCATTGCACAGTAGATGTTAATAGAGCCAGTCAGTGTAGTTAGGCCTGATGGCAGCTAGAGGGCGAGACCGGTGGGTTTGAACAAAATGGAATGTTATGTGGAACAGAGAAGAACGGAAAAATAAAGAGTTGGTTATGAATCATACAGTGGACCCGCATATAATTAATAGCACGGCACGGTGTCAGAAGTCCTGTACTGATCCATGCAACCTCGACCGAATGAACCTGTATCTTGTGGAGCTTGTGGAAAACGAGAGGGAGAATATGGCGGATGAAAGTGCACAGAGAACACTGGTGTCGTGCCAAAGTAGTTTGTTTGCGTCGGGAGCAAACGCTGGGCTGTCCAAATCAAGGACAAAAAGCATCCCAGAGTGTTGATTTTTACTTTACAAACACTTCTTATAATGACTAACTACTCCTGAAATTTTTGGGATGTTACCTCTTTATACAGGAAAGTTATAGTGGGATAAAAACAATCATCATGTTCTTTTGTTAAAATAATCCCGTCACCACGTGAGAACAATAAATATATACAATTCTCTGTTGTAACCCTCAAACTGAATGGTAATGCAACGATAGTAATTGTTAACTTTTTCACAAAAGTAAAGCATCAGTACTTCCTGTGTGCTCCCGACGCAGGGGAAACAAATTCTGTTGGGGATACCTACTTTGGCACAGCAGCAGTCTGAGTTTAACAGCTGAGCAAAGGACAACGTACGTGGGGGTACGTGATGGATTCCAGGCTTTTTTCATTGTGAAGAAAAATGTGATCTACGAATGTTCCAAATTCAACATGCGCTGACAGGGAGAAAATGAGATGGTGGATGCTTTTGTGACTGCACTGTATGTACTAGCAGAACACTGCAACTGTGGAGGGCTACATGATGAACTGATACGCGACAGGCTCGTTGTCGGTCTCACGGACAAACGGCTGTCAGAACGCATGCAGCTTGACCCAGATTTGACCCTGCAGAAAGCTATCAAGATGACGAGACAAAGTGAAGAGGTAAAGCAACAACAATCCTCCTTACGAGGTGACTCTAGAGCTGAGGCTATCGATGCTAAGTCCATAGATAGAGTGCACAAAATTAGTCGTAAGCCTGCTAGAATCAAACCTCTCCAGACTGATAGTCGTCAAGCTAAAACACGTGGGTTCTGAGAAGACTGCAAGAAAGGGGCAACTTGTCAAAAATGTGGTGGTGCTCCATCACATTCAAAGCAAGATTGTCCTGCACATGAAGTAAAATTCCATGCATGTGGGGAAAAAAGGACATTACAGGCGCGTATGCAGGGCACCCAATGGAAATGGTTAACCACCATGGAAAGTTTCTTCCACAGTTTACAGAGAGAGACAAAAACTTTTAAGAGACTCACTGTCTAAGAAAAACAGCTGGAGGTGGGACATTGACACATAGAGTGTTTTGGGACCTGAAACATGCATTTAC